GTCTGCTTCGCCACTTAAAATTCAATTTGAATGGAAAGACGTCTGCTTTGTTAACTCACATCCACTTAGCTGTAATGACTGTTAATAGCTGGAATTTGGGGGTTGCAGACGTTGAAATACAAACGATTATTTACCTTTGTTGACTGTTTCGGTAGCTCAGTGGTTAAATGTAGCCTAGGATTGTGTTAAGCACGATAAATTCTGCGTTTGAATCCCTGGGAAACTATAAACGAAAACACGTTACATTCTGTGTTTGAATCCCGAGGAAACTATAAATGGAAGCACGATAAATTCTGTGTTTGAATCCAGGGGAAACTATAAATAGAAGGACGATAAATTCTGTGTTTGAATCCCGGGGAACTATAAATGGAAGCACGGTAAGTACTGTGTTTGAATCCCGGGGAAACTATAAATGGGTTCTATACCTAAACTTAACATAAGTTTAGTAAATAGACAAAAAAATATGTTGGACTACCAGGGAGAAACGGAATTTCACTGTTAACCTTTATAACTTAACAGACAGCAAAAGACGAATTATTGAGTAATAAAATAGTAAAATAATAATTAAAATATTATATTTATTAAATTTAAAATAAGAAAACTATCCAGGCATGATCTATATAATTGCATAAGAATATTTAAAGGTTGGAAAAAATATTATATTACTTTTTTTTTAGAATTTATATAACTGAAGGACTTTTTGTACTACGGATTTTTTGTTTGTACTCTAGCCTCTAAAGCAGAATTATCAGAATTAGACATCGACAGCAGTTAAGTGTCAGCTATGCCTTGATCTTAATTTCAAACCAACATATAAATGAAAACAGTAAAACAAAACAGTAGGTTACGAATACGCAGAACTCAATTTACACTTGTGTTTATTATTATGTCACCTGCAACAGCCTTTGCATATTTTAATTATGTCATTTGCTTGATTACTGCACTGAAGTAATTAACAGTCTTTGTGTACTTTTATATCATAAACACACAAGATGCAAATGAAGTCGTGTTACCAATATCCCTTTCTTTGTTTGCACAAATGATTTGTGCAAATTGAAATTAAATTGCACGATACCTCGCCTTCCTCTACTAAATTGTAGCAAAGTAGCACAACTATTAAAACCTCGGCAGTTTTTAAACTGCCTTAACTACCTGTACACACGTGAACGTATAAATGCCGTCTTTACTTTGTCTTATCCAAACGTACTTGATATTACGTATTCTGCAGTAATTATATCTTGCATTGTTTAAGTATTTCTCTCGCTATACTTTGATAGGTGAAATTCTAAAAAATATACATCTTTAAACTAAGAACAAAAATTCATGGCACAATTTTATTTCATTGCCCTTTGTTGTTATTGCGTTTTAAGTTTTTTCCCTACGTACCTCTTATCTCTACTTTACTCATTACAAATATCTATATATTTTTATATTATTTTGCATACTTAATTTGATATATGGAAATTGTTTAAACGTTTGTAAGTGTACTCAGCGGATATTTTTAAGTCAGACTTAACAATAATAGGGACAAAAGTTTGTATTTTAATGAATATTCTTCGAAAACATTAATTGCTAATAACTGATTAACTAAATTATAATAAAATATTACTCACTCAAAATAGCTAATTATCTTTTTGGCTTGTTGTAGGGGCACGGTATTACATTATTATGCACAGTGTTTAGTGCCTACGTTTTTGGTTGTCTGAGTCTGTCAAACATAACTTTCTATATTTAATTTAGATCTTTAGACACGTCATGTTTTTTTGATACATGTTGGACTTCGTCTGCTAATCTGGATAAATGGGTGTAGAAATCTCCAAATTCCCCTGTCCAGTTCGTGGATTTCCGAATATCCAAAACCAAAATAGTTCGATAGCGCACATTGATATGTGTCTGGAATATTTCAGCTATCATGTATGAACTTTATGCTTGTTTGTCCTCCTCTATTAAAAAAACATTTTAAACTAAATTAACATCTTATGGTATAACTACTGCCACTGTTTAGGTAAGTCGCGTGGAAAACTATAATACAATTACGCGTAATAAAAAATATCATTGACCCAAACATGACATAGTCTTATTTATTGTGGTACGCCCATTTCATGAACGCCTGATGGTATCGTCAGGCCTACCCCCGACCACGCGTCGAAGATCGGCCATAAGTCAAAAGTCACGAAGCCAGTTAACATTAATTGACGTGACTTCGCCTTAACCGCTCATAATATAACCTCTTATCAAAAACTTAACCTATATAGTGTAATGTCTGATGAAGTTTATTGGGGTGTAAATCGACGACTTACTTGGGTAACTGAATTTCAAAACGATGAAGACTTCGTAAGACGAAGATGTAATGAAACTAGATAATTGAAACATAATAAAGAATTTTGAAATTGAATTATAATTTTTCAGTACCAATTTTAACAATATATAGTGTGCAGACTATTTTGTGTTGTTTTGTAATCTACCTGTTATGTAGATGATAGAGAATGTAAATCTTTCTCCCCGTGACCACGGCTACTGCAAAGCATCCGAAACGTCGGGCCGTAGTTACAATAAGTTTATCTAACCCTAAATACTGTCTATAGTTTACACGAGTAATACACATTTTAATAAAACACTTTAAAGGTTTGAAACGGGATATATATTCGTTAAACTTATTTGAAAACTAAGCTTTAAATTTTTCAAATAAGTTAACTAATAGGTATAAATTGCGTTTTAAAGTGTCAAAAATGTTTTATCTAAATCTATATGTCGTTTGAAGGAATTTGCTCATAAGTTAGGGATAACGGAAATAAAATCTGATATTAGGAGTTTCCAATGTGTATTTTTATGAAATACCTTTAATGTAACTAAATATATTTCTTGAAACTGTCTTAAGTTACAACAATTGCCAGACCATTACTGTAATAATCTCATAGTCTTCAATGTAAAAGGTCCTTTACAATGTATATAACTAGTACGGTAAACAGAACATTTGAGATATCGGTAGGTGCTAGATTTGTTTCATTAGTGCGCGTGCGCCGATAGCCGGGACCAATTAAACGCTTTTATCACCAATTACTGTTTACGATGCTCTCAAATACACTTCCATATTGTATTCATTAGACTATTGTTATTATTAAATATTTTCGTTTGTTTTATTTATTGTAGCATTAGTCGTCACAAAAGTAGTCTGACATTGCTTATAGTTTGTGCATGAATATAAAACACTTTCAGCTGTTTTAAGAACGAAATAGATAAATTTACTTAATTTAATTACGACCCGACGTTCTGGATGCTTTGTAGCAATAATTAAAAATAAGTTAACTTTTGCGTTTTTAATCCGTTAAAATATAATACTATTATATTTAAATTTAAAAAAATCTCCTATCAATCAAATCACATTATTTTGTACTTGTCTAATGAAGCTAAAGAATAATTTGTGAGGAATTTAAAAAAAATATTGTTGTGCTGGTTGAACAACTTATCGTGGAAGGCTTCAGGATATAAAACATCTGGCCGCGATTAATAGCATATCGATAATCGAGGGAAATGTGGAAAAAACAGGGAAAGTACTGTACTTTGAACGTTTCTGTTGCATACGCTGCTAAAATTATTAAAGAAAGCGAAAAATTATGTATGAAAGATCTAGTTTTCTATATGTTAATCTATATGTATTTCTTTTAAGATTAACTGGCAAAAACGACGGGACGCGGACAACGTCGTGGGTAACACCTTTAATTTATGCTCCAGAGCTGAGGTGAACTATTCCACGCGAACCATGTCACGGGCACAGCTAGTAGATAATATTACTTAAACGCGAAAAACACTCATTGACAAGAATCTGGAACACAGTTGTAAATATTTATAAATATTTAACGAAATATGAAATAATTATCAGTTGAATCTATTGCGTGAGGACCTTAGTTAAATGTTGTGAATGCGCCTTTAGCATGATTAACCATTCCTTAATATTTTACGCTTCTGTACGCAATTTTTGAGCTTATCGTGACGAAAAGGCCAGATAAAGCACTCAAACGCTAGCTTATTTAGGAGACGTGGATTTCTTGTTAGTTATTAGGATATTTAGACAGAGTAAAATGTATAAGTATGTTCTTATTTTATCTTACAATAGTATGAAATGCAAATAAACTGTTGCAATGTAAGTGTTGGACCAGGTGGGAATCGTACTCGCGACCCATTGATTATTCAACATACTTTACTACCATTACACTAATGGAGGCGTTAAAACTAGCTTTGAATATAATTATTTTTAATTGTTTTTGACTTAAGGTATTCAACGAATAATTATATAAATAAAAGACAATAATTACTATATGTTATGAAGTTGTAACCAAATATATTATTTAAACAGAAAACCGTGCTTAAAACAAAAACACCATTGTTTAGTCTTACTTAATGAAAGTGTCACTTGAAACTTATTTTGACTGTGTCTTGCATAAATTATCTGACATCAGCAAGGCATAGTTAGATTAGTTAAAAAGGTGCGAGTACGAGCTAAATATATAATTTAGGTTTAAAGATTTATGAATGTATGCCACCAGGGTTTTTTATCATTTAAGACACGTTCATATTATGCGTATTTCAAGATACAAACTATAAGAAAGATTTGTTACAGCTTATATCTTAATTTTTTTTTGTTTGGAATCTGGATTGATATTGTTTGAAGAATTTTGGACGATAATGTGTAGGTCACGGTAGCTTCATTGGTTAGCCGTTAGAGCAAAAACACGAAACGCTAGTGGATGATGCTTCAAGTCACTATGTAATTTTTTCAATCTATAATCGACTTATAATATTTTTTTGTACCTTAATCAATTGAATATACCTATCTAATTGCTGTACTATCTTAACACATTAAATAAAAGAACTGACAGTTTAAACATTGTTTTAACATTAAATATGAAATTGTTACTAGCCTTAAAAAATCCCTAATTCTTGTCAAGGATCTATACTATGAAATGCAAGCTCTACTAAAGTTAGTTCTAGACGCTTTGACAATGGAGAATCGTTTTTCACTTGCTATCGATAACGTTATCAGAGTGATAGATGAGGCAGCTGCATTGTCCATTGACGGAACGCAAGATGGAACTTCATTCAACTTGCTATTCGCAAAGATCGAAGCGACTAGCGTTATCTCAATTGATTCATCGTTATTAAAGAAACACGCAATTCTTGTAGACGAGCAGTTAACAGACATCTTTTAGACAACTTTATCAAATATTGTCTGTAATTTACGGGAGTAGTACACATTTGAATAAAACAATTAGTTTAGAGATTTTAACTACGGCCTAATAATGCCAATAAGTTTATCTAATATCAATCGAATTTTAAACGTTAAAGTGTTTTATTTTAATTAGGTACAACTGCACTGTATGTTCGTGATATAGTTATAATGTACTGAAGTTAGTATCTTGTAATTTATTAAATACAGATCTGTTATGAATAAATAGTTAAACATTATTTTATAATAATTGATTCCAGATCAATAAGAAAGTTCTTTGAAAGTAAACAAGTATAACTACGACTCTTGTGGACAGACATTCTACAATAAATTGTGTAAGGCTTTCGCATTTCTCATATATTGTCTTTCGGCTGTTCGGCTAACGTGAGCGGGAAGAGGTTCTCATGTTCGCCATCATGTGTGGACGGCATCATCAGGAGATGTTAACCCATCGATTGCTCGAAGAATTCTTCGAAATCTCGCTCAGTCGGCTGATCAGCCCGAAAGACAATGATATGCAGACATTGCTATGTCCAGTTTATTTAAAGGCACGTTGATTGTGATTCACTTGAGTTAACCCGACTAAAACTATGTATATTTGTTACTAGGGATTTTAACCATCTTCGTACTTATTGCAATATTAGCCAATTCGTTTTACTGATTAACAAACAGAGATCTAAAAGTAGTTGTGAATCGGTATGAAGAGACAAAATTACCTATTTTGGACAATTTAAAGTACATGTATAGCTAAGCTTGAATTAAATTCCTTAGCAAAACATCATTGAATCATAAAACTGACTCAAAACTGTTTCCTCGTATAATTTACGAAACGTATTTCAAAAAGACCCATAGATTTCTTCCATACATAGACCCATAGAGGTTATATTCCATCGATAATAATCCATAGACTACGTCACTCTTTTTACGTCTTAAGTCATTGAATATGATTAGATCAGATTGCTCATAAACAATAAGGTTTTAATAATGTTCGTGTCTTGTGACCATTATCATACTTGGCGCGACGTTGGTTAGATAACATCTTATTACGCGCAGTGGACAATAACCTGCATTAAATTTAAAATATGTATCTGTTACCTCTGTAGCTCTATGATTTAATAGCATAGCATTGTGTTAAGCACGAAAGGTTCTGTGTTCGAATTTCGGAGTAACATATATTACGGGATAGATTTCAGGTGATATAAATTTCAGTCGTGTTTAACTAGGTAGTTTTAAATCGCGGATGCAATAAAAAATCGAACACTGATACGAACACTCATTTGTTTGTCCCAAGCCCAACTGGGGGAAAATGAGATCAAATATAATCTATACTGATATATAAAGCGAAGTGAAGAGTTTGAATGTTTGAATGTGTTAATTTCAGGAACTACTTTTTTGAATTGAAAACAAATGTGTTGGTTAAAGCATTTTTAAAGGAAGGCTAAAAAGCTGTAATACATTGCGCTGTGACTAATAGGAGCGAAGAAACAGTGGGAAATCTTATCATGTAATGTATTATGTTATTCTTAGCGAAGTTGGGAAAATCCCAAATTTTATTCACTCAATGCTTGTGAATTTCCGACGCGTACCTACGCTGCGAAAACGGTTTAAGAAATATTTACGACATATGATTCCTCATTAAATGATCTAAAATAAATGTTCGCGACACTATATGTCATTTTTTGATACCCACCCCGTCCTCCTTGCATTCCATTGCAAGGAGGACGGGGTGGATAACAGCTTAAATTTATAAAGACGAAGTGGAGGTTGGCAAAAACAAATTTGGATGCACAAAATAACTATTTTACGCAAACGCAGTAACACAGCTAGTTTTTTTTAATAAATATAGTGATGCGTGTACAATTACATTACATTCCATTACTTGACCTTCAGCAGTCAGCAAGACCACTGCCAACAGTAATGTCCAACGCAATATAATAGGGCGACCGTGATTAGGTATATTTTATAAGGTACTTCGTTCCCTACAGTGCCCATCTCGCCACAGGCGTCATGACCTTACTTAAGTTGACGAAACTATCAGAGTAATGTCAAGGTTCCATCATGAACCTCTGCGATCGGGTTTGGAATTCGTTACTTGTACCGTAATCTAAATTAGAGCAGCCTTTTGTTTTAATGGCAAGGACCGACGTTTGTTCTAAATATACCAATAAGTTTGTTAGTTACGTTTATCATCAGCACTTTCAAAAACACTAAGTTTTAATTTATATAATAATTTTAATGATAATAGAGAACAGTTGATGTATTACTAGACATATAAAAGTATTAAATAAAAAAAATATCTACCACTCATAATATTTTATGACATTTTTTTCGCAATTTTTAACATAATGAGAGATTTGAGTCTAAGTCAAAGCCGAAAAAGGTCGACAGTTAGATGTTATATTCAAATCCTGAATCAATTTGCATGATATAAACACATTTCTGTGTCCATTTTATTTACAGGCGAGTATTTGCTCAAACTTCTGTACCATGCCTGACTGAAACGATCGATAGTTTCTCCGGGGTGCGAACTTAGAATCTTTAGCTTTTAACTAACTCCTAGGCTACACTTTTAATCATTTAGCTAAAGATCGTTAGATGTTATATGAAGTATTTTAACTCCCAACAAAGAAACCCAGTACCTGTCCTTATTTATAAAATCTAATTACCCTTCATAACAAGCCTGTAACACAGTTTAACCTATCTAAAGAAAACTCAATTCCGTCCTACTTTCCTTTAACCTTATTTTCCGAACACAAAGGAAAACAGTAGCCATTGAAGTATATGCTTACCTTTATCTTAAGCATGAAACATGGGTTTATGAGTCACAGATAAGCGTATCTTGCTGAGATCACCACCTCGCTATGTTATGAAAGTACACTCGTAAAGCGATTTTCCATTGTCTTGTATTGTTGACTTATTGTCAGATTTTAATATCATGAGTTTTTCATTTTATAACTCATAATAATGAATACCTCTTATTGGTAAAATAAAAATTCATTTAGATTGAATAAAAATTAACGATGCGCAATTGAACTGACATCCAATTATATAAATACAAATGTCATACCGTGCAATTAACTTGTATAAAAATGTATTAAAACTCTTATCTTAACTTTATCAATATTTTAAGTATGCCTTACTAAGTATGGTGTTGGTATTATCTACATCTTATATTGAACTATCATGAATCTATAATGTTGGTAAATAAAAAAGGGATATGTTTAATACCTGAATTATATATATAAGGATAATATATGCCTATCCTTTTATTTCGTTTCTACATCTCACCAATCAACCCAGTAATATGAAATAAATTAAACATAAGAAAGGTACATAGAAAACGATTCTATTTCTAATAAATAGTGTTAGGCTTTCACGGCCATCGTTCAGCATATCATTGTTTTTGGGGCTACGCCGCCGATGTGAGCGAGCAGACGTTCTCGACGGAGAATTCTTCGAGCAATCTAAGATCCTAGCCCGTGATGGCGAAACGTCGCGAACCTCTTCTCGCTCACGTCGGCCGAAAAACTAGTCTATGTTCTTGTGCACACGATTGTACACGAATAAAATTCACATGGGTTCTATACAGTTAGCACAATATTGCTACGGCGTAGCGGTCTACGAAAAAATTGTTTAAATTTGTAACCTTATATACCAATGTCATCTTATAACTAACATATGACATATTACAAAAAGTATGCTTCTTATTTAAAATTGTAGCTGTAGCAGGTTATATTACGTAATTGAAAATCATAGAATCTCTGAGGCCGCCCTACTTTACTCAGTAATTATAGCACTCGCCCATATGACCCCGTAACTTTGTATAGTAGTTGTCTTTGCCTCTAATTAATAAAATGTCACTTGACGACGTTTTAATTAAAATTTTAATCTTCAAGCGCTATTTGTACGTGCCGTTGCTAAAATAAGTAGAGTTTTAAAAGAGATGTATACAATAATATAATACTTGTAGGAATTAGATTGTTAGAGCTGTTAGAAAGAATAGTAAATGCAGCGATAATAATTTAAACAAAACACTTTTAACGGTTCTAAATGCGAAATATATTAGTATTCTTTTTGTTAGCCGTGGCTATCACGGCTGCACGGCCGTCGGGGTACAGTTGAAATAAATTAAAATAAGTTGATTAATATATTCCGCGTTTTAAACCGTTAAAAGTATTTTTTACAAGTGCATACTATTTACGCAAACTACAGACAAACGATAATAATTATTTTTAGATATTTTAAAGTAAGTAATGTTACTAGTACCAAATTTATCAACTCTTTATTTCAGGGCAATGTTGTACTGAAATAAAAATTTAAAAAATTTGTCTGTTTTGCTTTGTAAACGATCGACGACGCTTTCATTATTAAAAGCATAAATAATAGAGGAAAATATACTCTTTTGATTTAACTCAACGATATTCTATTATTATTAATTGTATCTTGTTCAAGCCCTTTGTTTCATTTCTCTTAGTTAAGCGCACTCTAAACTTGTCTACTGTCGTATCAAAGTTTCAAAACAAAAACCGTTTGCATTACACAATGAAGCCTTGTTTGCAAAATGCTGCCATTTGCGGAGCGAAAACCACATGTAAGGCCGCAGTCTAATATAAACGGTATAGGTCTTGTCAGTCACTGTAGACGTGTTGTAGACAATGTTTATTATAGTTTTCGTTTTTATAAAACAGATTGAAGGCTGCTTGAAAGTCTACAAATATTGATATTATTGCCTTAATATGTTTTTGACTAATCAATATAAGTGCCTCAATTGTATAATTTTGTAGCGTCCTATAACATTTTTTCGGATTCTAAGGTTAGGCACTTATAAGAACGCGTTAAATTCATATACATATATATTCAACAAAGCACTATTTTCCATTCCCTAAACATTAACTTTTTGACAAAGACAGCATAATATGTCTGTTAAATAGTAAGCTATATTTTGCCTAGACTTGTCCTATAGCATTTATAGGAAACCGAAGCTTTATTGTTTACAAACGTCTGTCAAATAGTAAAGAATGGTAACGTAATGTTTCGACTTTTATTTGCTATTCAACTTTTATCGATCGCGCCACAACCTCACCTATGGCCAATGAAAACTCAATCTAATAATGCCGGAAAACAATTTCCTTGTAAAAACATCGTTTGCTTTATCGAAGGTGTACTTTAATTGTACCATGGGTTACATGTGTATTCCCTGTTATTATAAGTATGTATAAAGCTGTATAAATAACTAGCTGTGTCAGCGACTTCGTCTGCGTAGAATAGTTATAACTCTATAATGTTCAGTTGTTACCCACAAGGTCGCCCGCGTCTCGTCTTTCATGAAAGATAGATCTTAAAAGATAGACAGATACTATCGCGGACATTTTTTAGACCATTTAAAGAAGAACCATTCTTTCATACATGTATTTGGGGGATCTTGAACCGTTTTCGTAACGTACGCAACGGAAACCGATAATAATGAATAATTTTCCCCGTTTTCTTAAAAAGTCCTGCCCGTGTCGTAAAATTTCTTTAATCTGAATGAGTTATTATATAATGCCATCATGTACTACTAAGAAGTCTACTCTAAATTCAGTCAATACTGAATTAAGGCGAGAAGTAGAATGGAAATATTAATAACAGTTTTGGTCTATAGTTTTTATAACTTTGTTTCATATAGATCGTTTTTCAAGATTCAACTGTCTATGGTAAATCGCACATCTTTATTACACGCATATGCAATGTTCACTCGAGTGAAGCCCAGGCAAAAGCCGCTATAACCTTAGTCAGACGCAAAGTGGCGACGTACTTCAAGCCTGACGCATTCTGTGATAAGTATAGCGCTGTAAAAAGATTAAAATAAAGCTCGGGAGAGCCTGGACGTCGTTTAATTTACGACGGCGTTGTGTGGCAAGAGAAATCATTATCCCAGCGCCATCTGCAGGTAAGTTACGACGCCCGCTGAAGCACGCACCACTCGCACATGCGCGCACGCACGCACACCACGCCGCCCGCTGTCCACCGGCCGAACAATCGATCGTAAATCAGCTTCGATAAAATTATAGGAGGGAACACAATGGATGTCGCCTCGCATCGTGTGCGCTCCATAACCTACCCTCCATTGAGGACAGAGAGTCCGCTTTCATATACCGTGCGATCTTTCCGACATCTAGCGCTCCGTCTCCGAGATAAAGTCTACATTCGCACGTGTACAGACAAGAAGTGTGTATTCTCAGATTCCCGGCAGAGGATAATCGCCGCTAAAATTGGAGCACTTGAGAGGTTATTCGCGTGCCCACATCGCGGCACTCGTAATTGCGAAATTCACGCTTCGCGGTGCGGTACAAAAATAAGATTATGGATTCCGCTGAGTTCCAGCGTTATTGTGATTCGAGGATCCGTCCATAGGTATGTCTGCGGGCTTTACGACTTCTATTCCTGGAGGAATAAACCTCAGCTTATTGAATATTGTTCTGGTTATTTGCGGAAGACGTCGCGATTGTCCGACGAAGCGAAAACGCGCTTCATGTTTATTGTTTCCTGAGCTACGAGTATGAGTCAAAAGTGAAGTATGATTTAAAAGTGTGTTGGTACACTCTTTAGCACCCGAAACATCGAGCCGCGAAAAAAAGTTTAAACAAAATAAACAATTTTAATATTTTTACATGGTACTGCCATGATGGCATTATAAAAATCAAAAATATATTTAGATTGAAAAAAGGACATGGTAGCTCAATTGGTTAGTAGCACGGAACGCTGTGGATGCGGGTTCATATTATATAGATTTTTATTTTATAAAATATATAATGTTTTAATACGTTTGAGTTTTCTTATATTAATTAGTACCTTCTAAATTCGATTCAACTATGTGACTCTTCGTTAAGATCAATTGAAATATTTACCAAAGAAAATTACACATATAATATATAGTATAGTATGTTGTGACCCTTTGCTCAGGGAACGTAAAGCTGAGAATCAAATTTCACGACACTCGAGATGAGATGGTTTCCAGAGTTTTATGAGAGTCGTAAAGACGTGCCCAGAATCACATATTTGTTCTGAACCGATATACGTACCTTTAACAAATCTTATGAGAATTTTACCTTCTTCGAACCTTCATCAATAAGCCTTACATTTTAATTTTAGAAATAAATATACAATAGATGTGGAATATCAAAACAAGTCACGACCGCATCTTGCATTATAAGAAGATAGCTACCTAATTTCAGTACCTAGTTTGATATAATTAGAAAATAAATAACGGTTTAAAACGCGACATGTACTAGTTCAACTTTACGAATTATTTAAACTGAGACTGACATCCCTTTAACGGTTTAAAACGCGATATATTAGTTACTAAAATTGAAACCGTTAAAGTGTTTTATTTAAATGTGTACTACTCGCGTAAACTATAGACAGTATTTACATTCCACGTTTTAAACCGTTAAAAGTTAATTTCAATGTGTACTACCCGCGGTAACTACAGACAGTATTTAGTATGATATAGTCACTCATTAAAGCATATTTATTATAAAACATATATAATAGATACTTATATGATCTTCTTCCAAAAAATGTTTAGTCTAGCAATGCATTTTTTTAATTTTATTTTTTGTGCATTCGTGTCAGAAGGAAACCTTCATAAGACGGACAATATGTAAATAAAACACTAATGGTTTAAAACGCGATATATTAGTTAATCTTATTTGAAAATGATTTTTAACTTCGGCCCGACGTTTCGGATGCTTTGCAGTAGCCGTGGTCACGAGGAGACTAAATGGAGGATGTCTCTGACGTCAAAGTAATACGATAATACAAATTAAAAGATACTTTTTAGGTACTTAACATATGACAATTCATGTAAATAATTAGTTAAAAAGTTAAATATTAATAAAGCTATCCGATAAAAAAGTGTATCTAAATAAGAAGTATTTGAAATATTTCCCTCGCGCTGCAATACAAGAGAATAAAATAAATATAGCTCTAATGTTTTATTGTTTACGTAGTATATAGCTATAAAATATTCCATTCGGAGATATGTATGCACTTAGATTTCAGCTATAAATCGTATCGTAAAATTGATGATTGTGTTTGCGTTGTGCAAGCGATGTTTTCCAGCCTGTCTAGCTGATAACGGGTAGCCAATAGGAAATTTAGTATTTATTAGCTTTTTATTATAGTTGAGTAGATGAAGGAAGGCGAAATACCCAGGCCTGATTTAATTTTTGCCCATTCAATCCACGGACTGAAAACGTAAACTTTAGACTACAGGTTTGTTTTACTAAGTATGGTGGTTCATGATCTGGACCAAATGTCGATTTTGCCAGTTTTTCCAGATGTGTGTGACGGCGTGTTTCAGAATATGTATATATTTTTTTGAAACTTTGAAATGATGGGAAGCGAATCCACGACCCGTTGTTTACTGCCGCACATATTAGCTACCATTCAAAGGTGATTCTGTCTGAAAATAGCTACAAAATAGTAAATGTACGCCTAAAATAGTTTACCTACATTTCAATAACGTTGAAAACTTAAGTAAACGCGGTATCCACAATATTACTAGTTTAAGATAATTGGAACATAAGTTTGATTTCTCAAATCTAGTCTTTATACTTTTTATGCTTCTATGACTTAGGTCTTCTAACTATATGTATCTAAGTACTACTGAAAGCGCACTTGTTTCCCTATTTATGAAGTTCAGAAATCAAAACTATACTCTTCGTTTACTTTGTTAGTACAAATATTTAGAAACATCTGTGCCAAATACTAAATATATCCCGAAAATAATAAAATCCAATGCTGTTTTATTTCAAAATAAGAATATAGCCAAAGTATTGATAAAAAAACGTCGTTATATTTACATAAACGAAATTACATAGGAACAAAGCGACGCGTCACGTTTTCACGAACATATAATGTAAATAAATAATGAAAAGCCCGTGTGCTCATCCAATGACAAGAGACAGTAGAGGGATCGTCCCTCTCTGTTCGACAACAAAGCGAAGTAGACTCTATGCGTGCTACATACAGTTTATATTTACAAATCAGTCAACGAAGGATGCCCGCTGCTATCTTGTCAGGCGGGGGAGTAGCCGACCAATCGCGCGTCGGCGCATCACTATCTTATACCTAAACATACCTTGCGCATGAAGACGCCTCGCGACAGCCTTCGACCGCATCTCGGGAGCCGTAATGACAAATCGATGACAGTTGCGAAGTTTTGAATTTGGAATGTTTCGGGGTGCGCGCGAAACCGGCGGGCGGCAGTTTTAGGCGGGCGGGCGGCGTGTCAAGTCCTGTAGGATGGGTGATGGTGGCGCGAGCGGCGTGTCCCGCAGACGACGTGACACTGCCTTCACGTGGTCGAGACCGCGGGGAAAGCGATTTTCACGCGGGAAACGATAGTGTCCGGCCGCGGTGTCTCGCGCTCGACTGTCACCGCGTTACACATTTGAGCCGGCCGAGCCACACAACACCCCGCCTCTCACTACTGAGGAAGACGGTTTACGGTCTTTCGTGTGTAATTGATAAGAATTTTCTTTTATTTTGGTTATCTTATGTATGAATCATAGTCTCGTAGTAGCTAAAAAGTTAACGTAGAAGAAATAATTATTATTACGTTGGATAGCATTATTGTAACTAATATGATACAAATAATACGTCGTATTATTAAACTAAACTGACCAATACAATCTTAATATACTTTGTACAAATCCGTTTTCTTAACCTAACAAATAAACAACCCCCCAAAAATCTCCAGTTCTTCTATCATTTTCTTTTTTTTGTTATTATTTGCACTGATAATCGATTAGATATGGACATTTGTATCAATTGTTACTATGTTTCGATTATACACAACAGAAGTTAATATATGTCTATTATTTGCTTAGTTACGTAGCTTTATGTATAAAACGTTTTCTAACACGCACCTAGGCTCTATTGATCAATTTTCTTTTATAAAACAAAACAGCTATTGCACCTTATGCCAATAAACGGTTTTACGCAACAATTTAATTATTGCATAGACGTAGCAAGAAATTAAATTGTTCAAGTTATAGTTTAGCAGATCTTAAACGACGATTTCTTCTATCTCAATCTATCATTTAATTAAATATATACAATGTTACTGTCACATCTCATATACAATATGTGTGTCTAATATTCCGGGCTTCTTTTATCTTCTAATACTGTAGCGTAGCAGTCTTTACGATAGTGGAGGGCAGACGAGTACGGGGTTCATTTGATGGTAAGTGTAACACCCCGGCCATATGACTTGACTATGACAACAAAATGCGCTGTCGACCCATTTTGGCTTCGGATATTCGGACATCCACAGACTGCAACCGAAACGCAATTAAATTTTACGACTTCATGTATTGACAGTGGTTCGTTACCCGGACGGAATTTCGATATTTTATATCTAGATTTTAAATATACGACGAACTCCAACATGTTTTAGGAACAAATTGATAAGAAAAATGTTTGACCCGGTGGAGATCGATCCTAGGACCCGTTGAATAGCCACACATTGCACTATAACACCAACGAGGGTCTACCATTTAAAAGGGACACGAGACATTCTGTGTTAGTTATTACGATAACGCGACTAGTGTTTTTACTTACCCCTACCCCCCTCGGTGGGGAGACGTCGTAAATATGATTATCAGGTGGGGAGGCGACGTGGACTAATCATATTCTCCGCAATTTACATAAATATTAGCGTGTTCCGTGACACACGAGCGACTGGTCATTACGGAGCTTCGCCGTCTTTTTAATGAAGTCCGATGTTAGATATGAGTCTTTGTCTTTTTTATGAGTGATTAATGTCCGTGGGTGTTTGTTGTGCATTCGAAGGTTTTTCGATTTTGTTCTGTTCTAGATCAATAGTCTAACGGCCGCGAAATACTGGCCGTTGCGTTTCAGTAATACATTATTTTGGTAATATTATAAAGCTGATGAGTTTGTTTGTTTGAAACGCGCTTATCTCAGGAACTATTGGTTTGAATTTAGAAAAATAATTTTTGTGTTACATAAAATATTTATCGAGGAAGGCATCAATCAATCAATCTGCAATTATATCAATCTGCAACTAATGGAAGCGAAGAAACAAGGAACAATGTGGATAAAACGGGGAAGGTTATCTATATTAGGACTTCCATTGCGTGCGCTGTGAAAACAATTTAAAAAACGAAACAGTACGTCTGTTAAAATGATTCCGCTTTATATGTATGCTAAAACGACGGGCCGCGTACTACGTCGTGGGTAGCTGAAAGCTGAAAAGGTTTTTTTGCTAAAATTAATTCAAAAAAAAAATTAAGGCCGAAGTCGCGGATACAGCTAGTCAAAGACAGCGACATCAAACTACAATAACAACTAAGTAAAAGAATGATTCAATATGGAGCGAGCCACAGACGCGCGAATGGTCGTGTCTCCCATCGCGGCGCCGTTCACTTTGCCAGGCGTTTTTTATAATTAACCCATAGCTGATATTGCCGATTGAAAGTTCTTATTATAAATTAATCCTATAGTATATAATGTCACGTTGTTGCGTTAGCCCAAATCGACATGTTATCTGTTGTTTAGTATGCTAAAAATAAAACAAAAAGTAAAACACAACATTGATCGCACAGTATTGTACCAAAATACAACAACAACACCAAAGAACAACTCTTCCTTGTTGTTCTTATTTAATAAATAGTCTATGTTAATCACATCTCAATTAAGAATTAAAAGCGTGTACAGGAACGCAAAACTAATTTTCAACAAGAATAATCTACCCTTTCTAATTAGACCGCAAACAAACCGAAACGAAAATAAATAATTAATTACAGCAGCGTCCTGAAATGCAGACTTTACCCTTCAAGGGGCCAGATGTTAACAGACTCGGAACAAACCCCAAATATCTTGTAAAGCCACCCACCGCGTCCGGATTACTTAAACCACACACAGGTGACTACTCATCCCGATACGTTCGTAACTAGACTCTATATACACGTGCAAAAGAACGTAAATCGCCTAACGTTCGCTGTCTTTTTGTCTTTATTGACTTCAGAAACTGTTTCTTCTTTATATCGTAAGATGACGCTTTATAGCTAAAGGTCGCAACCGCCGATGCCGTTACAGGAAAATAGTTCCTATTTGTATAAGAATAAATGCTAGTTCTGAATCAGGTGGCGAGGTAGAGAATGTTTTTCAGTTAAAGACGCTGCGGTGATATGATATTATCGAAGCGAGACAGAAAGGGATAGTAGAGCGCAGGCCCCTCGGCAGACGTCGCAGTTGCCATGGCAACGCATCGATTCGCCGCACCCCGGCCCTGTGATGCAGCCTCCACACGTATCCAGGTCATTCGAAGCCTTAGCTGAACCTGCTTAGATTAATTCTGAGAAAGCAAACAGTTAACTTCCAACAGGATTATGTTATTACGTGGCAGTATTTAGTAGCTAGGTTGAATTAAAATTAATTTCCTTGGAGACATGAAAGCTACAAACGTAGAAGTTTTATGATAATGAGCAATATAGAACTGTAATATAATTTTGTAGACTTACTCTGTCTTTCAGTACGATGTTAACTACTTACTAGCTAGTTTAAGTTTAAAAATGTAACTTAAGTTAGACAAATATTACCTATGAGTTTTTTAAATTTTAAATTATATCATTAACATAAATATACGAGTGATTGAAACTTACGAGATTATACCTACAAAATATAAATTAAAAACGATAATTACAAATACATTACCATAATTGTACGTTTATTAAATTGCCTAATTTAATGCCAAAATGAGTTCCGTCAATATAAGCGTAACAATACCTTATTAGAATTTACTTTGATCCGCTCACGAACGCCGACCCAATTTTTATCTCAAAGACATCGCTTAAGCCTCGGTAACTCAACAAAGGAAAAGCTGGACCTAATAGGGCCACTCGGTGACGTGAACGCACCTACTCCTTGCGCCCTTTTTACCTTCCTTTGAGGTGGGCCATCAAATGAGGCTAATTTAAGAGGCTGGCAGTGACGCGTCAACAAAATGTTAGCTAACATTTTCGGTACTGCTGCCATTCTGGGAACAATGACTAGGAAATAATTGAGACGCTTCTACTATGTGAATGATGGTGAGAAAATGCAAAATATAGTTCTAGCAACAAATTGTGAAGTAACAGCTTACAATAATAATTGATGGGTGCAATTTGCCTATTATCGACAGTGTAATTTTAGTGATAGAGGACTGACAACTTGATGGGGGTGGTATATACCCCAGCCATGTAACACAAGATGCGCTGTCGTCCTATTTTGACTTTGGATATTCAGATAATAGGCAGCTTTAGCATAGACATGTTTTTATTATAAGAGAACAATATATTAGATTAGAGTATTCACATTATACGATATACAGGGAATTTCACGAGACACAAACCTTGTTTTTTCCACAGTGACATCGCCCGTCACTATTCAAATTAAGATAGCCTTATCTATGAAACTACATATGTTAAACCTATTTAACAATATTTTTTAAAATGCACTATCAAAATTAACACCTAGAGTTACTTTTACATGAGATAATATATTTTTTAAATGCACTCCATTCTATTTCCATCCAGTTTCTAAACAATTTATAAATTTTTCTCGAATATTTTGGACTTCGTCTAAAAAATCTGAATTGGGGTCGGAATATCGAAATACAGTCCGAGTCAAAACCCACGGTCCACAGATGAAAAAACCTTGTAGTTTACATTGATTCAGTTTCAGTGTGTGAATTTCCGAATATCATTATAAAAATTGGCTTTTATATGATTACTAGCTGTAGCCGCGACGTCGTCCGCGTAAAATTGTTATTTTTTTTTTATTTATTAATCTCCCCTTTTTCCACATTTCCACTGTTGATTCGCTCTATCGGTCGCAGTGATGTTTTATAGCCTTCCACAATAAATCCTCCAACCAACACAAAAAAAAAAATTCAATTCGAACCCATAGTTTCTGAGATTAGCGCGTTCAAACAGACAATGAACTCTTCAGGTTTATAATTTAAATATAGATATAATAAATACATAGTTCATTTATATAATTATGTATAGATATCCTTTGTTTCCATAATTCGATTATTTAATTAATATAAAAAAGATAGTATTTATTTAAATAAAATACTTTAACGGTTTAAAACGCGATATATTTTAAACTGTTAGTGTTTTATTTAAATGTGTACTGCTCGCGTATTCTACAGACAGTAGATAATATTTACTTATATGTTAATAAGGAGGAACCTCCATTTAACCTAGATAGATACAAAATGTTGTTCTAAGTAATAATTAAGACCAAGATCTAGAACGTTCTTAGATACTATATCGAAATATTTTCTTATCTATTTAACCATAAACGTCTACACTATCGGATGTTCAAAGTTAATTAAGCGTGAAATTGAGGTCATATTTCTTCATTGGTTCAGGTCGTAAAACAAACATCACAAACATGTGAAAGACATTCAGCATGCTATTTCATATCCTTTTTTATTATTTGTGAGGGCGTACCATCATACTACCCATATATCATAATTACAAACAGTTTTATTTAAAAATATTATAATGCTTATCTTTCAGGACATGTAATATTTTTTTATTATATGTTTGGATAGAACAATATAATTTAAAACAACTCTCAACCTATGTAAAAATTTTAAACTTAAAAATTACGTATCAAACCCAACTCTTCTTTTGAAAAACAAGTAAACATCAATATTTCTAATTGTGACATCTATAAAAATTAAAAAGAAGTAGTACTAGTTTATTAACGTACGTAACTGATGTTTCGTTTATTGTACGATAGATGGCAGTTCTATGAAAGTTTGACGTCTTGCAGAAATTAAGCAAAGCGCCATCTAGTATGCATTTGTATTTACTATTTAATTACAAATAAGTATAAACCTAAAATAACAAAAGTTTGTTGAATTACTTAAAATAAACTAAAAACGTCTAAATTAAATGTACAAAAGGTTTTACATCTATTAAAATAAATGTCTTAAATTTATCGGATTGCCCGATTATAATTCTTAAGCGTATAAAGGAATACCATTTTAAATTTTTGACACAAGCGTCGCATTCCGGTCTTAGGTTATTCTCTTTTTTTTATTGGATACTTGTTAGTGTTGCTAGTATGTCTTTCCGTAACCAAAACTTCAAAAAGATATTTTAATTTCTTCAGCACTTATTTCGGTGTATCCTGAAAAAATATATATTTTTGTTACAGTTAAAATATTAAATAATAAGTTTGATATATTATTGAAATTGTCCTTACAATATTCCATCATTTAGGGACTGCATCTTTAACGATTTAGAATTTGCAAATTGCAACACTGGTTTTATATCATGTCAGAAACCTTGCTTGTATCCAGCTTGTGTATTTTATTTTAAAATATTCTTTTTTTCGTATAAAATCCATAAAATCTATCTTTTAATGGTAGCAGTAGTTTTATATTCGTTATAGAATTGTGATGATAAGTGCTGTGAATAACTGTAGTACGTGCTGGGAACCTAAAGCGGCATCGTGGAGTCACGAAAACGAAGGTAAAAAAACTTCATTGTTTCTACTGACGCTTGGGTTTGAAAGAAAAATTGGAAATCGATCCGGAATTTGTTTCCTTCGGTCTCTTTTATGTAATTACAAAACGATATCCTATTTATGCTTAAAATTATTGTACAATGCCGTAATAGAAACAACAAACCTATACAATGTGCGTCGTAACGTCTGGTTAACTATTTTGAAATTTTATTTGAAATAAAGATAATGTTAGAATTGTTTTATGTTACTTGATTTAATAATCGTACTTTATGATTCGCAATAAACGTGCTGGCTTATGACGGTACGATTAATTATGTTATAGTATATATATTTATTCTAACTTCAAACAACAGTTACTTTTTTATTTCTACTTCAAATGACAGTCCTTTAGTAGTAAGGTGATGTGCTATGTAGTTAAAATGCTCAATTTTATTTGGTTCTATAGTTTTATTATACTCTTTTTCTATTATTTTATATAATAATAATAATACATATTATGTACATTAATATTCATATTTTTTCACAAATTTCAACAACTAACAAAAAAACAGGTTATAAAGTTAAGAAAATCTTTTGGAATTTGTACCAATTAAAATCTTCAATCTATTGAATTAATAACAGTTTCTATAAACCAAAGTTAATAATACATATGATGTTTAACATTTGATTATTCAAGTTAGACATAAACTATGTATCATGTTCCTGTGTTATAGTTTAATAGTTATAGTTCCAATTTATTTGTGAAATATATTAAAATAGATAATTGTTATAAAACTTAAAATAGTACTTTATAAAAAAAACTTCAATGGTTTAAAACGCGATATATTAGTTAAACTTATTTGGAAATGATTTTTAATTGAACGCTCATCCAGCTACATACTATACACTATAGTACCTTATTACAAAAGATCATATTTAATATTGTTAAGTCACACATCTATTTGAGCCTTTGAGCTCTAATTTTAAAATCATTGTTAGTCTTTAGTTCCCACTGCTGGGAAGGGATTAGAGATTATTTTTTGGTATGGCCTTAATCTATTGCGCAGCCTTATACTTACTTATGTATAGGGCATGTTATTAAATTGTTGCACTGTGTAACAAGAAGCATAATAAGAAATACATTTTTATGCATACAAACTTGTGACTACACATTTGGAATTTAGTGCACACAGACACACAGGCCAAGTAAATTGTTACATAAAACATTGGATCTCTATTAAAAGTTAAAATTTTATATTTTCTTAAATAATTGTAACTCATATTGCATACAAACAAATTGTAAGCAAATCCTACTAACCGGATGTGTGTTGTATAGACAACTAATTACAACAAATCTGACATGTGGCCACACCAAAATTCCCAAGTGCTACATGTATCACAAGGTATTTATAATAACAAAAGGTGACATTTAAATATTTAATGCCTTCAGCGGAGAATCAAATCTGCTGCTGACCTTGAGTCAGTCACTTTGTTATCCCCAGATGACCTCTGAGATTGCTCCACAATGATCCTTTGAATGGGTTAATGATAAATCTCTATGCCATACTTAAATTCAATGTACTTTTTTTAATGTCATTACGGGCTTATTTCCTCCTTAGATAAACACAAGTTTTTGTAAGCAGTAAGCTCTAAATATGCCAGACCAAAAAGAAGCAGATTTTTTTTAAATATGTATCTTAAATCTATAATTTAAGTATATAAAATAAGATATTTAAGCTGCATTTGATTTCGAAGAATTAAAACAAGATCAATAGATTTATAACAGAACTAATATAATAATAATCCTTCTGACTGGACATTTAAATGTTGTTTTTACATTGAATTCATGTATTGTAATAAACACATAATATGTAATGACTATAATAAATCTGACTTAAAAGTATATTATTATAGATACTTTGAATAACTTTTGCACAGGAATATAATTTTTTTTGTTAAATAAATAATTTTCTGTCAAAGGTTTTGCTTATATCTCTTTTTAACGTGAATATTTGCAATAATATCTTTCACTGCAACAACAATATTATCATTATTTATTCTTACCAAACCACACGAAATACAAGCAAGTTTTATTATAGCTGGCGTTATTGTATTCAGCCTACCTGCTCTGGTCGGCGCAACTAAGCAAAAAAGAAGGGATAATTTTTAGTGGAGTCGTGCCTCTGAAAGAACAAAGCCTTTATACTTTTACCTAGTTATAGTTATCCAACGCGCCCGCAGGTGTAAACTTTTATCTTTTGCGGAACGTTTTTCGCTTAACCATACAATTTTCACCGAAGGGCTGAAGTTTACATTGAGTCATGAATATTTCTATTTCATATGTATATTCAATGTATATTATCTATATTAGGTAATTACGTCACTGCTAGAATACACGGCATTTATTCACACATACGACAGAATACAGATACGTACACAAAGGAGAATCGAACATCTATCTTATGTTCAGATTAATTAAAATTCATACTAAAATCGAGTTCACTAATGTTGCAGAGCGCTAATAAATGTCT